ACATTTTCGGAATGTTGAGGTCTCTCTTGTCTTGGGTCAGTAGATATTCTTGTCACTTGGTTGTCGCAATGAAGTCTTCAAGTCTATGAGGCTTGTATCTGCTCGTGTTGATGTTAGCTACTGATCTCCATGTACGTGTTAGAATACGAGTTATGAAATTGCTAACCTAAAGGTCCTAGACATAACAGTAGCAACAGGATGTCTGTTATGCATGATAATCTTCTCTTCATGGGGTTGCAAGCATTGGAACTTGAGGAAGGTTGTCACTAGTGGNCTTTCATCTGAAAAGATTAAATTACGGTTAAATTTGTCAAAGCTTGAAGGGATAGTTGACCGACAACATGGCCAGTTGACTAGGGTCCAGTCGACTTGCTTCAAGAGCCCAATCAACTAGGTCTCTTCTAGTTTGGTGGTTTTGCTATTGCTTTGAAATGGCATATGTCTGGCCGCTTTTGGGATAATGCCTAATCCTAAGGCTAAGAAGTACGGACACTCTTAAAACGATAACGTATCCGTGTTGGACATCGACACTCTTTTATTCATGTCCCTAATTAATATTTTAATCTCGGACACGTGTCCGACACTCCTTTAGTAACGTGTCCAACACTTCTTTAGGTCATGTCTACTACTAAACTATAAATATACCCTAACATATATTAACAAAGTTTGAAATTTTTATAAATGACTATCTTATGCTTTGAGCGCATATGTAATTGTTAAGACAAGTCATGTTAAAGTTGTACTTAAAATTTATTAAAAAAGAAAAACATGAATAAAAATGTTGCTAAAGAAATGGAATTGAGAAGATGAGAACAATCATTATCTTTATGCATGTTCGCTATACATTGTCTCTGGAAAATATCGATGATTAGTGACTATTATATTCTTTAAAAATTGATAATAGTTGACTAGATATGACATTTACTTGCCATAAAATATTGAATTTCTTGTGAATAGTACTATAATTAGTTTTATATCTATTTGTAATGTGTCTCTAACGTGTCTGTGTCCGCATGTCCATGTTGTGTTGTATCTATGTCCATGCTTCTTAGTCCTAAGGTATGACTCCTACCTGCACACTACTCATGGAGCTTGACATTTTCGGAATGTTGAGGTCTCTCTTGTCTTGGGTCAGTAGATATTCTTGTCGCTTGGTTGTCGCAATGAAGTCTTCAAGTCTATGAGGCTTGTATCTGCTCGTGTTGATGTTAGCTACTGATCTCCATGTACGTGTTAGAATACGAGTTATGAAATTGCTAACCTAAAGGTCCTAGACATAACAGTAGCAACAGGATGTCTGTTATGCATGATAATCTTCTCTTCATGGGGTTGCAAGCATTGGAACTTGAGGAAGGTTGTCACTAGTGGGTCTACTTCTAAAATCTCAACTGTCCTGTGCTTTCTATACTTTTGTTCTTTCTCTGGTGCCAACAATGTGTTTTTCGTATTTATGCTGAACATTTTTCATTTAATCTTGATCATTTTAGGAATGTATAATGTATATGGGTATATTATATTGATTATTGGCAGCTATTACTCTCTAAACATGAAGAACTGCCCTGGTCAAATATTCTATTAAATTTCTTGAGGGAATTGATATTACTGTTCATTTTGGCGCTTTTGAAATTACTTTCCTTGAGTGGGAGTAAAAGCTGAAGGTTTTTATTTTCAGACAAGAAGTACTCACTAATTATTTAAAGATGAACAAATGCATAGTCATGCTTGCATCTCTGTTTGCCAAGTACAGTAAAATGGCTAAAGATTTCCTTTGATGGAAGACTTATGGATAGAATTTGTCTGGCTATTTCTGCTGTCTTTGATAATGTTTATAATTTCACGTATATGACGTTTATATGATCTTTCGTAAGGTTAAATTTTCTTTTTTGGGATTGATGACTGTGATTGGTGTGGTTTACAGGAACTTGATAAACATTCTTGCTGAAGTTTCCCAAACAGGAAAGCAAAGGCACATCCCCTATAGAGNGTGTAGTCTCTAAAGGGGAATGTTAAGTTAAGTTGCTTGTGATGTGTTGTTCGAGATAGAAAAGTGTTGTCTACATAGCGTTTATAGCCTTACTCCCTAAACCGAGGATCGAAATTTTATTTCAAAATGGTCGAGACATTCTCGCTTCCAAGGAGATCAGAGCGAGTCAGAATAGAAATACCAATGCTTTGAGGTATTTAGAATGCTTTGAGGTGTTTTGAGATGTTTCAACACATTTTCATTAATGTTTTGAGATGTTTATGTATATTTTCATCAATGTTTTAAAATGTTTTTGAAATAAATTCTCAAATTTTTTATTCGTTTCTATTTTGTTTCCGAGATGTTTTTTGGGTGACTGAAACAATGCACCAATACAAAATCGTGATCTACTTGCCCTGAACTCGAAGTATTTATTGTCTGAAAATGCATTGTAAATAAACACCGACTTCATACTCGATTGTTTTAAAAGAGCTGTGATCTATTCTTGGCTTTAATGCTTGATAAACAGATGACCCCAGCCCAAGCTTGGCTCAGTATAGTTTTCGAGTAGAGGTTAATGACATGTCTTGTTGTTGTACTGGTCTTCTATGGCTGCTTATTATGTTGCCCATATGTCCTTTTAACATTTATGTTTACAAAATCAAAGTGGGCTTGGTTTGCCAGTGCATTAAAGCTTATGACCTGAATGATGATCTCACCTGTTCAGCCTTTGACTGTGTATTTTTTGTTTTTAAATTCTGAAAGCCTGACGCTACAGTCATGAAATGACATGTGGCCCATCAGAAACACAGCGTTTCACCTGTTAGTATTTCTAGAGCTGAGTTACGAGCATCTTGCAAGTCTAATGAAATGATGCTGAGCTGAATTTGAACAATGTGTCCTTGGCTTAACTTGAGTATGAGCCAAGTTTGAGCAGGCCAACATTCGGCTGGGCTCATGCCCCAGTAATAGTTACAGAAAGGTTCAGCTTTTGTTGTTGGTTTAGAGAATGTTTTGCAATTTGACACATCAGTTAACTGGAAAACACACCACAACTCTGGTTCGTCCACCAAGGCACACACTCACCTCTTCCAACCGCTATGGCTGGGTCACTTCGTTATAAGGGGTTTTCTAGGATCAGTCTAAATAAGCTTGTGTTTTACAACTTGGCTAATTCAATAGCCAATCTAGATAAACCCTCTCTAGACATGTAACTATGATTTGGTGGGTTTCTAGGCAAATGTGTTTATGGCACACAAATGGATACCTGCAAAATGGAGTGAATGGCCCTTTGTGTGACCCACAAACCTTCAGCTTATGCTCTCGTGAATGAAAGAGTATGATTGGCTACAATGCATCCAATTCTTCAATGGGTGTTATAGGATGTATATGGGAGAATCGGAAGCCTGTACCGCTCAACTTTCATCTGAAAAGATTAAATTACGGTTAAATTTGTCAAAGCTTGAAGGGATAGTTGACCGACAACATGGCCAGTTGACTAGGGTCCAGTCGACTTGCTTCAAGAGCCCAATCAACTAGGTCTCTTCTAGTTTGGTGGTTTTGCTATTGCTTTGAAATGGCATATGTCTGGCCGCTTTTGGGATAATGCCTAATCCTAAGGCTAAGAAGTACGGACACTCTTAAAACGATAACGTATCCGTGTTGGACATCGACACTCTTTTATTCATGTCCCTAATTAATATTTTAATCTCGGACACGTGTCCGACACTCCTTTAGTAACGTGTCCAACACTTCTTTAGGTCATGTCTACTACTAAACTATAAATATACCCTAACATATATTAACAAAGTTTGAAATTTTTATAAATGACTATCTTATGCTTTGAGCGCATATGTAATTGTTAAGACAAGTCATGTTAAAGTTGTACTTAAAATTTATTAAAAAAGAAAAACATGAATAAAAATGTTGCTAAAGAAATGGAATTGAGAAGATGAGAACAATCATTATCTTTATGCATGTTCGCTATACATTGTCTCTGGAAAATATCGATGATTAGTGACTATTATATTCTTTAAAAATTGATAATAGTTGACTAGATATGACATTTACTTGCCATAAAATATTGAATTTCTTGTGAATAGTACTATAATTAGTTTTATATCTATTTGTAATGTGTCTCTAACGTGTCTGTGTCCGCATGTCCTTGTTGTGTCGTATCTATGTCCATGCTTCTTAGTCCTAAGGTATGACTCCTACCTGCACACTACTCATGGAGCTTGACATTTTCGGAATGTTGAGGTCTCTCTTGTCTTGGGTCAGTAGATATTCTTGTCACTTGGTTGTCGCAATGAAGTCTTCAAGTCTATGAGGCTTGTATCTGCTCGTGTTGATGTTAGCTACTGATCTCCATGTACGTGTTAGAATACGAGTTATGAAATTGCTAACCTAAAGGTCCTAGACATAACAGTAGCAACAGGATGTCTGTTATGCATGATAATCTTCTCTTCATGGGGTTGCAAGCATTGGAACTTGAGGAAGGTTGTCACTAGTGGGTCTACTTCTAAAATCTCAACTGTCCTGTGCTTTCTATACTTTTGTTCTTTCTCTGGTGCCAACAATGTGTTTTTCGTATTTATGCTGAACATTTTTCATTTAATCTTGATCATTTTAGGAATGTATAATGTATATGGGTATATTATATTGATTATTGGCAGCTATTACTCTCTAAACATGAAGAACTGCCCTGGTCAAATATTCTATTAAATTTCTTGAGGGAATTGATATTACTGTTCATTTTGGCGCTTTTGAAATTACTTTCCTTGAGTGGGAGTAAAAGCTGAAGGTTTTTATTTTCAGACAAGAAGTACTCACTAATTATTTAAAGATGAACAAATGCATAGTCATGCTTGCATCTCTGTTTGCCAAGTACAGTAAAATGGCTAAAGATTTCCTTTGATGGAAGACTTATGGATAGAATTTGTCTGGCTATTTCTGCTGTCTTTGATAATGTTTATAACTTCACGTATATGACGTTTATATGATCTTTCGTAAGGTTAAATTTTCTTTTTTGGGATTGATGACTGTGATTGGTGTGGTTTACAGGAACTTGATAAACATTCTTGCTGAAGTTTCCCAAACAGGAAAGCAAAGGCACATCCCCTATAGAGATTCCAAGTTGACATTCTTATTACAGGAATCTCTAGGTGGTAATGCAAAATTAGCGATGGTTTGCGCCATTTCTCCAGTACAAAGGTGATATGGCAGATCCCTGCTTTGCTACCTGCATGTTGATTTTTTTATTTGAATTCTCTGTTACTTTCTTTTTCCTTGTTTTCTTGAATTGGATAAATTTTGACGAGTTGATAATGCAGCTGCAAGAGTGAGACATTCAGTACACTAAGATTTGCCCAGCGTGCGAAGGCTATCAAGAACAAGGCAGTTGTCAATGAAGAAATGCAGGATGACGTGAATGTTTTGCGTGAAGTGATACGAGAACTAAAGGTATATTGTAGTGATTCCTTTTAATTTTCCCCCCCTCTTTTTAGCTTCCATTGTTCATGTTATACTACATCTATTACCAGTTATGACCTCAAGAGAAAACTGTTGCCAACTGGACATATTTGACAGGATGAACTTCTTCGAATGAGGGCAAATGGCAACAAAACTGATTCGAACGGTGCGTCTGTTAGAGGGTGGGATGCCCGNGGAGTGAATGGCCCTTTGTGTGACCCACAAACCTTCAGCTTATGCTCTCGTGAATGGAAGAGTATGATTGGCTACAATGCATCCAATTCTTCAATGGGTCNAACGGTGCGTCTGTTAGAGGGTGGGATGCCCGTAGAAGCTTGAATCTCCTGAAATATAGCCTCAATCGTCCAATGATGTTACCTCATGTAGATGAAGATGGAGACGAAGAAATGGACATTGTTGATGAAGGTGGTCAAGATGATCTCCNGATGTATATGGGAGAATCGGAAGCCTGTACCGCTCAACTTTCATCTGAAAAGATTAAATTACGGTTAAATTTGTCAAAGCTTGAAGGGATAGTTGACCGACAACATGGCCAGTNCGTAGAAGCTTGAATCTCCTGAAATATAGCCTCAATCGTCCAATGATGTTACCTCACGTAGATGAAGATGGAGACGAAGAAATGGACATTGTTGATGAAGGTGGTCAAGATGATCTTCCACTAGCAGACATGGAAGAAAACAGCACCATGGATGGGAGCAAACAAGAAAATGCTGAAAATGGGAAATCCCATCCAGACACATCTGAAAATGTATGCATTGAGGAACAAGGTTCTGAGGATACAGAAGATAATATGGAAGAAGAAATATGCCAACAAGTTGAGAAGCATGAGGTCATTGTCGTTCAGAGTGGTGAACCTACCACAAACACGCACAGTTTCTCCAGAAGTGATATAGGAGACGATCATAATTGTGCTAAGGACATGGTTCCTTCTAGCCTCAGCACAGTTCCATGTGAAGTATTCCCAGTTCCTAAATCTCCCACTCCAAGTGTCTCGCCAAAAGTGAATAATAGCAGTAGGAAAAGTCTTAGGACTTCAATAGTGCTGACTGATTTCCACAAAGATCTCAAAGAAAGTAACTTAGGTTCAGAGGCTGTACATATATCTTTTGCAAAGCCTTCAAAAAGCAACTGTTTGAATGCTTTGTCTGGTCAAATAAGTAAAAGTTGTTTTGCATCAACTGAACAATTGGCTGCTAGTCTCCATCGTGGCCTCGAAATTTTTGGCAGCCATCGCCAGGTTTCAGCTTTGAGGCGGTCTTCATTCAGGTTTCCTTACAAACAAGAAGACATTATGCCAATTTTACCAGTTCAAAGAGTTGATGTGGGCATTCAAACTCTTCTTCAAGATACTGAGATGCTGGAACAGGACTCTGTCATCTTTCTGTGTCATAAATGCAAGACTAGAGATTCTCAAGAGCTCAAAGATGCCAATAACAGTTCGAACATGCAGTTAGTACCTGTAGAAGGGCCACAGTCAGCTGATAAATCTAAGAAGCAAGTTCCCAAAGTATGTTTATTATTGACTTGAATTTCAGCATTGCTTTTTTGAGAAATCACTGTTCTTAGGTCTATAAACAATGTCCATATGTTGCAGGCAGTAGAAAAGGTTTTGGCAGGATCAATTAGGAGAGAGATGGCATTAGAAGAATTCTGTGCTAAGCAAACATCTGAAATCATGCACCTTAACCGTTTGGTAGGTTTGCTGTAACAATCAATCAAGAAGCTAACTACGACCATGAATCTGTTTCCATCCATTTGACCTTTGTCGGTCATCAATTACAGATGCAACAATACAAACATGAGAGGGAATGCAATGCCATAATTGGACAAACACGGGAAGAAAAAATTGTTCGTCTTGAAAGCTTGATGGATGGTATTTTATCAACTGAGGAGTTCATGGAAGATGAATTAGTGTCATTGAAAAATGAGCTTCAGGTATGCATGATTTTTCACTTTGACGACAATACCCAAGTCTTTTGCTCCTTTTCTATGTTTTGTGCCCCACCCTTATGCATGTCCCTTCTGTTATTTATTTACAGCTTTTAAAGGAAGAAATCGATAACAATCCAGAAGTTTTGAGGACCAAAATTGAATTAAGAAGAGTTCTAGATGAACTGGAACGGTATAGAAACTTCTTTGATATGGGTGAAAGGGATGTGTTGCTGGAAGAGATTCAAGATTTAAAAAGCCAGCTACAATACTATATAGACTCTTCACCTAAGTCGGCTCGGAAACGAGGTCCTTTGCTGCAATTAACTTATTCATGTGAGTCCAGAGTGGATCCACCTTTGTGCGCCATTCCAGAGTTGACCGAGGAGAGTGCTGAGCAGAAACTTGAGCAGGAAAGAATTCATTGGACAGAATCTGAAAGCAAGTGGATTTCTCTAGCAGAAGATATGAGAATTGAACTTGAAGCTAGCCGGTCACTCGCTGAGAAGCAAAAAATGGAACTAGATATGGAAAAGAAATGCTCAGAAGAGTTGAAGGAAGCCATGCAGATGGCCATGGAGGGCCATGCACGCATGCTTGAACAGTATGCAGATCTTGAGGAGAAACACATGCAAATGCTTGCAAGGAAACGGAAGATTTTGGAGGGAATAGATGATGTCAAGAAAGCTGCTGCAAAAGCTGGGGTGAGAGGTGCTGAATCCAAGTTCATAAATGCCCTGGCTGCAGAAATTTCAGCATTGAAAGTGGAAAGAGAAAAAGAGAGGCGATATCTTAAGGATGAGAATAAAGGGCTTCAGGCCCAACTTAGGGATACAGCTGAAGCTGTGCAGGCAGCTGGCGAATTACTCGTGCGGCTTAAAGAAGCAGAAGAAGCTGTTGCCACTTCACAGGTGAGTTTGATATTGGTAGGCCACGTGTAGTTTCATTCCGTAGATTTACATTTTTCATCTGCTATTCTAGCTTGAAGTGTAGTTTTTTCTATCTTCTACTGTCGTCATGATGCATACTTGGGCAATATGGAACAGGATAGTGTATGTGAAACCAAAAGTTCTGTCTAAATTGTGTAGTTTGTTTTCTGCATAACCCTGAAAATGATGGGCTATTTATTGAGGACATATTACGAGGTTTCATATGATGCAATAAGACAAGGCATATAAGAAAATTTTCTCGATAGGCTTGCTGCTTTTAGCTGCAGTTAGTTTACTTCCCATGTAGTGTAGCTTAATGCCCTTACAAAGTGGAGTAAGGGAGCCTAGAAGGTGGGAGTGCTGCTCCTATTGGTAGAACAAAATACTTATTTGTTAGAAATTAGAAACGTTAGAATTTGTTCACTACTTGTCTAAGTTAAATGCACTTGATGTCTTAGGTGTCTAAGTATTGTATTTGTATAGTTCGCAAAGCCAATAGTATGTGAGAGCAACTAAATATTTGAATCTTTTAGTTTTCTCTTTTTACTAGAAATCACCCATGCTTAAAGCTACTATACAACACGGAGAAAAATCTCCAATTGAGGGAAAATTTTTATTCATAACCAAAAACTTAATAAGCAAACATAAAGCCTTACCCTTGTTACCTAAAATATTAAATACAAAAACAATAGCAGCCTTCAATTCGCATGTTGGTGTTTGCCACTAAGCTAACCGCCACAGCAACTCTAGTTGAACCTGAACTGATTCTCTTCATAAATTATTACCAAACTTTGTTGACACTTGCCAGCTTTAAAAGGTTGGAGCTGATATTTCAGGTAATGTGGGGATGATGACTTTGAATCATAAAATTTGACATCCTATACACTATCAAAATCCCACTCAATATGCATTCAAACCAAATTAAACAAACCACATTAAAATCGTGTGATTGAGATGCTGAATATGGGAACTTAGGAGTGGGAAAAATTTGGGAGACATTTTATCTCACTGACAATTTCGGATTAATCAGAGACGTCCTTTTAGTTTTGTCAGTGGTGCAGTTCAAAAACCTTTATCTCTTATTATATAGATTTTCTTAGCATCGAGTGCTAAAGAATGGACACTTGATGCAATTCCAAGCAGCCATGGAACAAAAGGACTAAAATAAGAAGGGGGTTTTATGTACAATTCTTCAATGAACTTCTGTTACTTGACTTTGGTACTCTCTGTATTTAGATGAGCCCACAGAACACAGTTTCTCTTGCCTTTTTTATGTGGTTTTGCATGGAAACCATAGATTTTAGTGTTCCTTTTTCTTCAGTTTTTTCTGGTTTTCAATTCTTTGGGGGTGGGTGGTTGGCCTCTCGTGTTATTCAGCATTGATAACTCAAGACAAAGACCTCGTATATTTTAGTCTTCAGTAAGCTATTGAAAGGCTTTAGTTGCTAAGATAATAGACCTTGTATGGTCTTATTTGCTGAATAGACTTTGTATGGTCTATGATGCACCCGACATCCCCTTAAATACATGCATATGTTGAATTAGAAAACAGTTTTTCAAATTATATAATGTTATTGCTCACTAAAGTGTTTTTCAATATGCTTGTTATATTTTCATTCTAATTGAACTTTTGGTTTCAGATAATTATAGTAAACTGGCAAAGATCTTAAATGCATGTACTGTAAGATTATGGCAATTAATGTCATGCAGTAATTATAAAAGTATTATGGTGTGCAGTAAAGAGGCTTGAATATAATCTTTAGTCCCACCACGGATAATTTAATTGAAATATGCCTTTTTACCATATTCTTGTGTCTTTTACTTTACCTTTGCTTTACAATTAACTAACCATTCAACATTCAAATTCTGACTTTTCTCTCTTTTTATATTGGCTATGATATCCTCCTGAATCATGTTTATATTAAATTTAGAATGATTTAAATGCATGAAGTTACCAGCAACAAAAAAAATGCATGAAGTTTAAGATTATCGCAAATAATATTGTGAGTTGATTACAAAAGTATTATTTTGTGCAGTAAAGGGGCTTGAATTTATTGTTTAGTCCCTATTTACATCGGGGGCTTTGTATACCAACTTCAACTATTTCATCATGTATGGGTAATGTCATTGAGATGTTATCTTATTATGAAATTCTTCACCCTTGCTTTACAACCAATTAACCATTCAACATTAAAATTCAGATCATTCTCTCTTTTTATGTTGGCTATGATATCCTCCTGATACTGTTATCTTTCTCCTTGGAGTTTGAGCATTTATGCTCTTTGCAGTCACTCATCCAATCATATTGTGTTTCTCTTTGCTTGAATCCAAAACACAGCCATCTCTCTCTTTCCCTCCATCTGTGTGCATGTGCGTGAGAACACACAAATGCATGTGGTATGTGGGTGGTGTTATATGATATATGTCAGCATATAGTATTCTGCCTATTAATCGTCTTTAACTTTCGTTGTTCCATTTTCCTTGCGTGGTATGATTTGCATTTGTGAAGTTTTAAGTAAGAAGAAAATGTCTCAAATTTTATGTGGCATTGTTGATTCACTATTTCTACAGAAAGTTTTAATACTACAAAGATGTAAACATTTAACTATAATGGAACTCGCAATATCAGATGGGAAGTCTTTATGGTAGTGCCACTGTTTGCTTCTTGCTGCAAATATTATCCTATATTGCGTGTCTCTGCAGTAACCCTGTTTGCTTCGAATATTATCTCAGATCAATGGTGTGGATCAACATCCATATAATTAAAATAATCATGAAAGCAGAGTTGTCCATGTTCCACCTTTTCCCCTTCTTTTCTAGGATTTTCTACTAGGAAACATGTGAAGTTTCCCTTTTTTTGCTTCTGATCTCTAGCAATTGCTCAATGATATAATATTTCTCTTGATTATTCTCTAGCAATCTATATAATGAACTATGAATTTGCAGAGGCGAGTGGCAGAAGCTGAACAAGAAACTCAGATGGCTTACAAAGAGATTGACAAATTGAAGAAGAAACATGAAAAAGAGATTAGTGCTTTTAAAAAGTTCCAAGCAGAGTCCCATTTGTCTAAAGAAGCATTACGACCTGTTTATGATGACTCGAATGTAGCGGACTATGATGAAGTGAAACTCCACAGTCCAGGTGATCAGCGATGGAGAGACGAGTTGAAGCCATTTTATAATGCTGAAGAAGGGGAGTCGTCCAAACTAACAGAACCCTCTTCGTGGTTTTCAGGGTATGATCGATGCAACATATAGAGACAGGATTTTAGTGGCAACTTTTACTGTATATGTATTACTAACTTTTTCTGTTGTATAGCTGTGAAATTGTAGCTGTTTCTGTTGGTCCTGTAGTTCTCTCACCATTTGTGAAGTCCAGTGTATTGCTTCTCTTAATTGTGCTTTTATACAGTTTGAATGCTTGCAACATAAGAATTGAATGAATGAATGATTTTTTGGCAAATGTATTTTGCAAATATGTTTCCACCCCGGATGCTCCATTTGGTTCCCAATCGAGATAGGCAGACAGACGCATGTCTTTACATTTGCACACCCCTGCACACACACAGGCACACCCCTATACAAACACGTATGCACACACAGAGACAGAGCACCTAAACGACACAACACAACTCAACAAAGCATTGCCTCCACTTTTCGGGGCCGGTTACATATTTTTTTTCATTAATTTATCTTTTTTGAGGCCCATACTCTTGGCACATGGGTATGTGCTCATACAAATGAGCCCCTGTGCACTCAGCCACTTACACATTTTATGCTGTTAACTACAGCAACAAATGTGGCACTGAGAAACCGAGAAAATTTCATGGTTTGCATTGAAACAAGTTTTCGCAGAGTCTAAATGTAATGGATAGGGTGGACCCAGAAACAATGGACCTTTGGAAAGATCTCGAAAAATAAAATAATGATGCTTTCAAGCAAGCTCAGATCATTTATTTGTTTGGTTTGGGTGTCAAGAGGATAGGAGGCAATCTTCAAGTGGATCATAGGAGTATGTCCATTGCTTCTTTGTGTTTTTTCTACAGGCAAAAACAGACAGTCCACAAGTCCTTTCTTTGGCAGCCTTCTGATATAGTTGGAGTCTATCATGTCATTGAGACCATAAAACAAACACCTTGTGGCCTTGTCCTCTTTGACATGTATCTTTCCCCACTTGTGGACCATTTCTCCTCCAGAAGCATTTTACTGAAACAAAAGATACAGAGAACCCAGCAGGCTGCTGAACCCCAACCATTCATTATCCAATGAGAAACATAAATATCCATTTTTTTCTCTTTATTTTCAGAAAGATCAAAAACAACCACTTTCATTATTTTGATGAGTGAAATGGGTTGAAAATGACATTTGAACAACACAAACACTTTTAATTGGAAGAAACAAGAAAGCAGTTACAATGGGAAAATTGCATTTATTATGAACTATTGTGAACAGGGAATGCATGTTCGAGTCATGAAATTTGTATTTCTGCATTAGGGTAAGGCTGTATATCTTTGACTCTATCCCGACACTTCTCCGTAGTGACGAAAGGTTCATGCATGGGATTGGAATGTCTCTATGGACCGATTGTTCGGTTACCAAAATGTTAGCTGGTCCACACTAGAAAAACTGTTTTTGGTGGAATGATTTTTGATCAAGGGAATTTTTTACCTCCCAAACACTTAGGATGGCAGTGGATCGGGGCGACGGCGGAAAAGTAGTCTTTACCCCATAAGTAAATTTTGTTTCTCATTCTGCCCGTAACAATTAATTTCTACGATTTTAAGAAAAAAAATCATAAAATCTAATAAATAAATTTATAAGATGGATGAAAACTCATTATATAACAAATAAATCAAACATAAAAACTCACAAAAATAATCTGTATAATAAATACTTGTTTCATTTCATTATTTTATTTTATAATATATATATAAAATAAAAGACATGCGGAATTTAAAGGAATAAAGAAGAATATGGAACAGATATGAAAATATACAAAATATTCCAATAAAGAAAATAAACACTTACAACACTAGAACTAATGGTCCAGTGGAAATAAGCGGTGACAAGGGAGCCCTTCTTTTGCATTATGAAGAAGGCTTACAAGTGAAGGGTAGGATTACAAGTATTAGTGGCTTGTAATGTTTCTTTGAAACCAGACTGGAGAGTGTATGAGATTTTCAAAGCTTGAGAGATATGAGGAGAGGGAGCTGCCTTATATAGAGGTAAGGGACTCCGGATTCCTGCTGGGTAATCATTCTGCTTTTTGCTATTACTCAGGGTAAAGTAATTCACTTTCTTGCTTTCGGCTGAAAAGTGGAGTAAGATTCTTTTACCCGGGTAATAAGGACATGTTGAAGAGACTAGTGGGTCCTATCTGTTTGTCCTGAAAATCCATCTTTCGGTGGAAAAACAGATTTGTGGGTCCTGCCTTTGTCTGTGAGAATCCTGCTTTTAGGGGAAAGGGGATCCTATACAGACTTGTGATATTATCCTTACATAGAGTGGACAACTTTTCTTTCTCTTCTGAAGAAAGTAGTGATTGAAGCCACTTTATGTAAATAATAATTCACGGGAGTGCAAGGTCAGGTGTGAGGTCATCAACATCAAAGTCTTCGATTCCTTCATAAGGGTCCTGAGCATATCCTGCTGGGAGTTCTGAGGAAGAGCTTTGGGAAGATGAATCATTGTCTGAGTCAAGTTGTTCCAAGAGCTTCTGAAGGAGCTTTGCCTTGGATTTCTTCTTGTTGGACTTCTTTTGAGAACCTTTGGATGAAGATTCTTCTTGTTTAATAGGAAGGTTAGCCTGGCTTGAATGAGCGGGCAGTTCCTTCACTGGAGTAGCTGGTTGTAAGAGACCTGGAACTACTACTGGAGTTGGTACTCTTACAGGGAAGTCTTGTTTCACCATTGTGATAATGTCACCATGCTGAAACCTGGGCCACCATTTGGCATAGAATTGTCGGGTCAAATTGAATCCCACAATTTCCCATTGCCATTTTAGTATCCACGGGACTTTGTACCTGCAAAGAAATATTAGTAATAAAGGTAATGGGGACTCCTGTTTACTAGGACGGTAAAGGGAGTAAAAGATATTAATCTGATCTTTAAGATCAGCTGGAAAGATTTCATCAATGGGACCATGTAGATGCCACCACTGTGCAAACCATGCAGGAATATGGCTTTTGAAATCTTTGTGGAAATTTAAGAACCAAGAATGGGACAAATTCTCATTTTGGTAGAGTAATATCTTAGACCATGACTCAATGTAGTCATAGTAATTAAACTGTCTGCTGTGAAAGGGAAGTTCTCGGAACAAAGAAGGGTGAGAACCCCATTCCTCAACAGAAATAATTTTGGTAATATACAAGCTATGATAGATAACCTTATTTGGGTTTATCTTATCAAGAATAGGCTTGGTAAAAATGGATTTAGTGTAGTAGAGAATATCTTGGTAAAAACTATGGGGTTTTTCCAAGTCTACTGGAATGTAATTCCATCCTTCTGGGAGGTAAGCCTTTACAAGGTCTTTTGGATCCTTATACTTAGAATGGGCTAGTTCAATGGCTAGGACATCCTGGGAATAGGCTTTGACATAATCAACCTTTGGGCCTAATTGGGCTACAAAGGGTTGTGAGGCCTTATAGGGGTTTGTCATGGCACTAGTGGTCCTGACAGGTTGCTGTTGGGCCATTTGGGTGAAGGTTAATGGGTTGACAGTGGTTGACACGGCTACTGGCCGGATGACCAAGGCAGATTGGGCTACTTGCCTATTGGGCTGAGTAGGTAATAAATATCTGTTTGACAAGGCTAATGCCAAGTCAGGTTCAGATTTGGGTAATTTCTGTTTATCCTTTCCCTTGCCCCCTGAATTTTTGGAGGAGGGTCCGGATGTACTAGATTTCCTGTCCGCCATGAGGTTCCTGCAAAAATTCTCTGGTTAGGAAATCAGGAATAAAATTGTTTTNAACTCTAGTTGAACCTGAACTGATTCTCTTCATAAATTATTACCAAACTTTGTTGACACTTGCCAGCTTTAAAAGGTTGGAGCTGATATTTCAGGTAATGTGGGGATGATGACTTTGAATCATAAAATTTGACATCCTATACACTATCAAAATCCCACTCAATATGCATTCAAACCAAATTAAACAAACCACATTAAAATCGTGTGATTGAGATGCTGAATATGGGAACTTAGGAGTGGGAAAAATTTGGGAGACATTTTATCTCACTGACAATTTCGGATTAATCAGAGACGTCCTTTTAGTTTTGTCAGTGGTGCAGTTCAAAAACCTTTATCTCTTATTATATAGATTTTCTTAGCATCGAGTGCTAAAGAATGGACACTTGATGCAATTCCAAGCAGCCATGGAACAAAAGGACTAAAATAAGAAGGGGGTTTTATGTACAATTCTTCAATGAACTTCTGTTACTTGACTTTGGTACTCTCTGTATTTAGATGAGCCCACAGAACACAGTTTCTCTTGCCTTTTTTATGTGGTTTTGCATGGAAACCATAGATTTTAGTGTTCCTTTTTCTTCAGTTTTTTCTGGTTTTCAATTCTTTGGGGGTGGGTGGTTGGCCTCTCGTGTTATTCAGCATTGATAACTCAAGACAAAGACCTCGTATATTTTAGTCTTCAGTAAGCTATTGAAAGGCTTTAGTTGCTAAGATAATAGACCTTGTATGGTCTTATTTGCTGAATAGACTTTGTATGGTCTATGATGCACCCGACATCCCCTTAAATACATGCATATGTTGAATTAGAAAACAGTTTTTCAAATTATATAATGTTATTGCTCACTAAAGTGTTTTTCAATATGCTTGTTATATTNATAGACTTTGTATGGTCTATGATGCACCCGACATCCCCTTAAATACATGCATATGTGGAATTAGAAAACAGTTTTTCAAATTATATAATGTTATAGCTCACTAAAGTGTTTTTCAATATGCTTGTTATTTTTCATTCTAATTGAACTTTTGGTTTCAGATAATTATAGTAAACTGGCAAAGATCTTAAATGCATGTACTGTAAGATTATGGCAATTAATGTCATGCAGTAATTATAAAAGTATTATGGTGTGCAGTAAAGAGGCTTGAATATAATCTTTAGTCCCACCACGGATAATTTAATTGAAATATGCCTTTTTACCATATTCTTGTGTCTTTTACTTTACCTTTGCTTTACAATTAACTAACCATTCAACATTCAAATTCTGACTTTTCTCTCTTTTTATATTGGCTATGATATCCTCCTGAATCATGTTTATATTAAATTTAGAATGATTTAAATGCATGAAGTTACCAGCAACAAAAAAAATGCATGAAGTTTAAGATTATCGCAAATAATATTGTGAGTTGATTACAAAAGTATTATTTTGTGCAGTAAAGGGGCTTGAATTTATTGTTTAGTCCCTATTTACATCGGGGGCTTTGTATACCAACTTCAACTATTTCATCATGTATGGGTAATGTCATTGAGATGTTATCTTATTATGAAATTCTTCACCCTTGCTTTACAACCAATTAACCATTCAACATTAAAATTCAGATCATTCTCTCTTTTTATGTTGGCTATGATATCCTCCTGATACTGTTATCTTTCTCCTTGGAGTTTGAGCATTTATGCTCTTTGCAGTCACTCATCCAATCATATTGTGTTTCTCTTTGCTTGAATCCAAAACACAGCCATCTCTCTCTTTCCCTCCATCTGTGTGCATGTGCGTGAGAACACACAAATGCATGTGGTATGTGGGTGGTGTTATATGATATATGTCAGCATATAGTATTCTGCCTATTAATCGTCTTTAACTTTCGTTGTTCCATTTTCCTTGCGTGGTATGATTTGCATTTGTGAAGTTTTAAGTAAGAAGAAAATGTCTCAAATTTTATGTGGCATTGTTGATTCACTATTTCTACAGAAAGTTTTAATACTACAAAGATGTAAACATTTAACTATAATGGAACTCGCAATATCAGATGGGAAGTCTTTATGGTAGTGCCACTGTTTGCTTCTTGCTGCAAATATTATCCTATATTGCGTGTCTCTGCAGTAACCCTGTTTGCTTCGAATATTATCTCAGATCAATGGTGTGGATCAACATCCATATAATTAAAATAATCATGAAAGCAGAGTTGTCCATGTTCCACCTTTTCCCCTTCTTTTCTAGGATTTTCTACTAGGAAACATGTGAAGTTTCCCTTTTTTTGCTTCTGATCTCTAGCAATTGCTCAATGATATAATATTTCTCTTGATTATTCTCTAGCAATCTATATAATGAACTATGAATTTGCAGAGGCGAGTGGCAGAAGCTGAACAAGAAACTCAGATGGCTTACAAAGAGATTGACAAATTGAAGAAGAAACATGAAAAAGAGATTAGTGCTTTTAAAAAGTTCCAAGCAGAGTCCCATTTGTCTAAAGAAGCATTACGACCTGTTTATGATGACTCGAATGTAGCGGACTATGATGAAGTGAAACTCCACAGTCCAGGTGATCAGCGATGGAGAGACGAGTTGAAGCCATTTTATAATGCTGAAGAAGGGGAGTCGTCCAAACTAACAGAACCCTCTTCGTGGTTTTCAGGGTATGATCGATGCAACATATAGAGACAGGATTTTAGTGGCAACTTTTACTGTATATGTATTACTAACTTTTTCTGTTGTATAGCTGTGAAATTGTAGCTGTTTCTGTTGGTCCTGTAGTTCTCTCACCATTTGTGAAGTCCAGTGTATTGCTTCTCTTAATTGTGCTTTTATACAGTTTGAATGCTTGCAACATAAGAATTGAATGAATGAATGATTTTTTGGCAAATGTATTTTGCAAATATGTTTCCACCCCGGATGCTCCATTTGGTTCCCAATCGAGATAGGCAGACAGACGCATGTCTTTACATTTGCACACCCCTGCACACACACAGGCACACCCCTATACAAACACGTATGCACACACAGAGACAGAGCACCTAAACGACACAACACAACTCAACAAAGCATTGCCTCCACTTTTCGGGGCCAGTTACATATTTTTTTTCATTAATTTATCTTTTTTGAGGCCCATACTCTTGGCACATGGGTATGTGCTCATACAAATGAGCCCCTGTGCACTCAGCCACTTACACATTTTATGCTGTTAACTACAGCAACAAATGTGGCACTGAGAAACCGAGAAAATTTCATGGTTTGCATTGAAACAAGTTTTCGCAGAGTCTAAATGTAATGGATAGGGTGGACCCAGAAACAATGGACCTTTGGAAAGATCTCGAAAAATAAAATAATGATGCTTTCAAGCAAGCTCAGATCATTTATTTGTTTGGTTTGGGTGTCAAGAGGATAGGAGGCAATCTTCAAGTGGATCATAGGAGTATGTCCATTGCTTCTTTGTGTTTTTTCTACAGGCAAAAACAGACAGTCCACAAGTCCTTTCTTTGGCAGCCTTCTGATATAGTTGGAGTCTATCATGTCATTGAGACCATAAAACAAACACCTTGTGGCCTTGTCCTCTTTGACATGTATCTTTCCCCACTTGTGGACCATTTCTCCTCCAGAAGCATTTTACTGAAACAAAAGATACAGAGAACCCAGCAGGCTGCTGAACCCCAACCATTCATTATCCAATGAGAAACAGAAATATCCATTTTTTTCTCTTTATTTTCAGAAAGATCAAAAACAACCACTTTCATTATTTTGATGAGTGAAATGGGTTGAAAATGACATTTGAACAACACAAACACTTTTAATTGGAAGAAACAAGAAAGCAGTTACAATGGGAAAATTGCATTTATTATGAACTATTGTGAACAGGGAATGCATGTTCGAGTCATGAAATTTGTATTTCTGCATTAGGGTAAGGCTGTATATCTTTGACTCTATCCCGACACTTCTCCGTAGTGACGAAAGGTTCATGCATGGGATTGGAATGTCTCTATGGACCGNTGTGAACAGGGAATGCATGTTCGAGTCATGAAATTTGTATTTCTGCATTAGGGTAAGGCTGTATATCTTTGACTCTATCCCGACACTTCTCCGTAGTGACGGAAGGTTCATGCATGGGATTGGAATGTCTCTATGGACCATTAGGGATTGTTCGGTTACCAAAATGTTAGCTGGTCCACACTAGAAAAACTGTTTTTGGTGNAAGGTTCATGCATGGGATTGGAATGTCTCTATGGAGGGATTGTTCGGTTACCAAAATGTTAGCTGGTCCACACTAGAAAAACTGTTTTTGGTGGAATGATTTTTGATCAAGGGAATTTTTGATTAAGGGGAATCTTCAAATGGTCGGAATTTTTTACCTCCCAAACACTTAGGATGGCAGTGGATCGGGGCGACGGCGGAAAAGTAGTCTTTACCCCCATAAGTAAATTTTGATTCTCATTCCGCCCGTAACAATTAATTTCTACGATTTTAAGAAAAAAAATCATAAAACCTCANGGTCCACACTAGAAAAACTGTTTTTGGTGGAATGATTTTTGATCAAGGGAATTTTTTACCTCCCAAACACTTAGGATGGCAGTGGATCGGGGCGACGGCGGAAAAGTAGTCTTTACCCCATAAGTAAATTTTGTTTCTCATTCTGCCCGTAACAATTAATTTCTACGATTTTAAGAAAAAAAATCATAAAATCTAATAAATAAATTTATAAGATGGATGAAAACTCATTATATAACAAATAAATCAAACATAAAAACTCACAAAAATAATCTGTATAATAAATACTTGTTTCATTTCATTATTTTATTTTATAATATATATATAAAATAAAAGACATGCGGAATTTAAAGGAATAAAGAAGAATATGGAACAGATATGAAAATATACAAAATATTCCAATAAAGAAAATAAACACTTACAACACTAGAACTAATGGTCCAGTGGAAATAAGCGGTGACAAGGGAGCCCNATTTTATTTTATAATATAATATATATATATATATATATATATATATACACACACACACACATATATATATATATATTACGGGTTTAACAGGATAAGGTNATATTACGGGTTTAATAGGATAAGGTGGAGGTGGGGAGGGGATGAGTTTCAATCCATCCCTGTACAAGTTTATACAGGTAGTTTCATATACGTCTACTGTTTAATATATATGGTTTATCCCTCATTCAAACGGGATAAATTTGGATAAATACTTATTTTTTTCTGGTCCACTGTTGTCCCCANGTGGAGGTGGGGAGGGGATGAGTTTCAATCCATCCCTGTACAAGTTTATACAGGTAATTTCATATACGTCTACTGTTTAATATATATGGTTCATCCCTCATTCAAACGGGATAAATTTGGATAAATACTTATTTTTTTCTGGTCCACTGTTGTCCCTANAGGATTACAAGTATTAGTGGCTTGTAATGTTTCTTTGAAACCAGACTGGAGAGTGTATGAGATTTTCAAAGCTTGAGAGATATGAGGAGAGGGAGCTGCCTTATATAGAGGTAAGGGACTCCGGATTCCTGCTGGGTAATCATTCTGCTTTTTGCTATNTACAAACATTACACTAGTCGAGAGTGCCTCAACAGGTTTAGGTGAAATTACTATATTAGGGGAGGATAGGAACTAGGTAACTTTTTGACAATAGCTACTTAACTTAAACTTTACTTTCCCACAAATAAATGTTTAACCATTTACCTGAGTCGCATCTCTTCTACTGCTTGTTGATTTAAAAAAACTTTCATTAATTCGACAAAGCAAGTATATTTGCAAATACATCGAGTATGCCACAATTTGTAGGAAAATACTTTTTAGGATGTATGGCCCTCGTTGATGAAACAAAATGATAATCCGTCACAAACTTGTTTTTTTCTCTCACCTCAATAAAAGACCATATCAACCCTATTCAAAGCAAATGCTTCTTATGGTGAAAGGAAAGGGACATAAAGTAAAGGGAGGTGTGTATGTGAACCATGAAAGGAATAGGGACATACAGCCTGGTACAGGGACCCCCTCTAATGATCATCAATTATAACCCCACAATGAAACATATTACATCAGTCTCTCCTAACCATAAGAGCATGTTGGAACCTGCTTGGTCCTCATGTCCAGCTTTAATAATGGAAAACTTTAATTAAGCTTTCTGATAAGCAGTCAAAGTCCAAAATAATAATCAGACTCTCAACAAATGATACTATGCCACCGATGCAATTGACTTTACTAGTTTTGAGATCGGATATGGAGCGATTGTAAATGTTTATCTATCGTGAATCACCTGTCACATGAGTTCTCAGATATAACATATTGTACATTGGAATGATGTAAGGTATTTTTTTTTTTTTTTTGGGGGAGGAGAGAGAGGTTGTTTGGAGGGGTTGGGGACTGATGATGGAAAACAGCTGAGCATGAAACTTGTAGTGCAGATGTTTCTATATACTAAAAGGGTGTAGGAAAAGAGGATTGGCTTCCTCTGAATTTGTGGTGATGACAAGTTCACCAAACAATTGGTTTGTAAGTCTCTGTCCAATCAATCTTAAAAAGCTGGTACCAACTACATTTTGGTAGAAAGTTAATTAAGGGGTCCATCTCATTGGTTGCAAAAGTGCCATGTCCTTAATTACATTCTCAAGTACTAATTAGTTTAGTCTAATAGGGCATTCTTGATTCTTTTAACCATAAGGTCAAGGAGACATGAATCGATCTCTCATAAGTCTCTATGAGAGATTCTATTTGGTTTCATTTTTGAATCTCGCTCGTGTCTTCGTTGAGTATATTCTCTTCTTCTTATAATATAAGTAACGTTAACGTCATTGTGATAATGATACATCGTTTTTAAACTGTTATAATTACTACATGACCTTTTGATTGTACTGTATTGACTACAGACAGAGTTTGATAATTCCTCATAGTTGGTTGCAAAGGAAAACTATGAAGTTTTTTTTCTTGTAATTTATGGTCCCACTGGCCTAGTAGCATATTTTGAATTGCTTCTCACAAGCTTTTTCAGCAGACTTTAAGTATTGAACCTATGAACCCAACCTTCTCTTTCAGATGCCATGCCCATATTGCATTTGTATACATTTGTTTTGCAGTTTAAACTCCACAATTTTAAAAAAAAAAAGCACTTTTTTTTTTTTGAACTCCACAATTCAAAAATAATAATAAGAAAAAGAATTTACTTATGAATCTTTTGCTTGCATGTAGGGGTGTTCACCATACTCTATGGATAGGAATTATAGTGTTTCATATTCTTATCCGATACTTTGCAGAAGAATTTTTTCTTAACCTATCCTACCTGATCAAGTGTACTATTCTTACCCGAATTCTGTCCAAAACAATCGGGTAAGAAATCGGGTGAACACATATTTTTTAGTTATTAATTTTTGAATCATTTTAATAATTTAATTAAGTAGTTTGCACCAATTAACTAAAACAATAATCACTAACATTAAATAAAATACAATAAATTTAATAATACATAAATAATTACAATAAAACATAACAAGAAAGTCATAAACATCAATACATCATATATAAGAAAGCCATAAATATCAATAAAACATTAAGGTTTTTAAAATTTTAATTTTTAGGGATTAACATATATATATATGGTAAGGTAGAAATACAAAAATTTTGTAGGTACTTCGCAATTCCTACCTAATTTTTTGTAGAATATCAAAAGAACTTGGCTTACCCGATTTTTTTGGGTAGCCGATCAGTAAAGTCGAACAGGATTGAAATTTACGAGTAATCGAAAATTTGAACTCTCCTACTTACATGTTATGCATACATCAACGCATGAATTATAGCACCTTAAAATTAAAAGTTTGACGCACGAGATTCTCGTCATTATGCTTGTGGGACCGGTCAGATATACATAATTACGTCATTGCATGTGAAATTTTTTAATTTTGTAACTCAAACACATGACACACAAATCAAAGTGAGATAGTTTTACTCCTGTTCTCCAGAAAAAAAAAAAAAAAAGAAGGAAAAGTTGTTGATTTCAGATTTGGATTGGTGGTGTCTTGAAGGTTGGATTTTGCTGCCAGGCTTTCATGGAGATGGAGAGTTTGTCTATCTTGATGGGGGTATCAATCTACATCTCAACTTCACTACTTTATTCTTCTACTTATCCAAACAGATTTTCTTTTCATAAATTTCTGAAGTAGATGGGATTGCAAAAAGTTATCTGACTCCTCAGCCAACTCACACCTTCACTACACCCAACCTGGGCTTTTGATGCTCCTCCTACATTCCATTATTAAATTTCAAATGGTAGAGAGGAATAAACAATGTTGCAAACATCTACGATACCTAGGATCCAATGCAGTTATGTTAAGTTAAGATCCAATGTAGATCAAAAGAAATTGATCCTACGAAAATTTGGAATCGATCCTTAGTTTTTGGAGTGAAAGATCACTTACTGTGAATTGAAGTAAAACTCATTATATATTAGTGAATCCTGTAATACTATATTAGTCACAAATTTCGTAGTCGAAGTTTGTGATTTTTTTAAATCCACAAGTTATATTTATCAAAATTTTTACCAATTTTTTTTTACCAAATCAATATGGGTGGTTGGAACAACGGACATTGACTTTTACAAATCATCCAATGTCTGCCAATCAAGGATCAAAATTTTGTTTCGGTATACAATTTTGGTAAACTTGGAAATAGAAACAAGATGTAAACAAACAAAAATTTGAAAATTTATTTTCAAAAATTTAGTCGAAACACAACGAAACATTTTGAAACATAGGTCAAAATACATTAAAGCACTTCAAAACCTATCGAAACAACTTTGAAACATAGGAATTTTGATATTCAATCAATGATTCATTTGAATCTCCATGAAAATAAAAATATTTTAGATGTTTCGGTTGTTTCGACATGAAATTTAGTTCTTTATTGTCAACATACTTTATCATTTGGTATACATAATTTAATAAAATATTATATATTCATAACATTATTCTTAAATCAGAACTTGACACGATTGGATTGTAACTTTCGGGGAAAATTACATGTGAAAATAGGTGCATTTTACCTTGTGTTATCATCAAATGACTTTGGATTCCAGCCAGGTGTAGTGTGTGTGTGTGTCATTTCATTGTTAATCAGTGATTTGGACTAAAAAGACAAGTTGTCCCCACTAACAGCTGGTTTCTAATAAGAATCTAATCCTCCACAAGTCACGCGATTTCACGTAACATCGTTTCCATTTTGTCCCACGATCAACTTCTACCCACTGACTATGACTTTTCCAGAAAACAAATCACTGTCAAAAGTCACTTTTTCTGTTTGGCTGCCAAGAAAGTTGATCAAAAGATAGGAAAATTGGAATCCTCGAAAGAAGATTGTAATGGTTGTTTTAAGTTTTTCTATGTTATGTACCCATCATGCATAGTTTAATGGCTCATCTTGTTCTGATAAAAAAAATATAATTCAATTAACTCTTTAATGGTTTGTCTCTATTTCACATAATTCGATTTTCGTTTATTGTACACTAAGCGTATAATTTTTTTTTTTGTTAATATTAATGTTGAAATATGTAAAGTCAAAATTTGGGTACATGATGAATCCAAATTACCTAATTACCCTCCAAAAATCTATATTTTCTTACTTTTTCATGAAAATTAATATTCTCATTACTTCCCAGGACCTTAATTTCCTCAAGTAATGGATCAATTTCACTACAATTTTATGTATCTGTATATAGCCCTTGAATTCAGTCATATTCGGATCATATATTGGTGCATCGATAACCGAAAGATTATGTAACTGATTCTAATTCAAATTATAATAATTTGGTCATAAAAATCAACCCACGTTCGGTTAATCAAATTTGGATCCATTGACTGGCTTATACGCATATTTATGAAACTTAGGAAAGTTATGTACGAGGGTACCACACTACATGGGGATAAAGGGATTGTTTTTCTCGGCCTTGCTGGTAGTTAAACAAATGAAACTTGTCTTAGCACAGGATTGCAGCAGTAACCAGGAAGAGAAACGAAGACATTAATTATCCCAATGGTAAGGAAATAAGCAAAACTAGACATGGTTGAAACAAAAACTTACATGAATACTTCTCTCTCTCTCTCTCTCTCATCAACTCTACAACGCAATTTTGGCCATGCTATAACATCTTACATGTGGTTTTGTCAAATTTTGCCACCACTAGGTCCAATCAGTTCTAGAATTATACAATGGGTTGTAAGAATTCTTCAAAGAATCAATTGCAGAATTGATATCAGAAATTAATAAGAATGAATCTTTCTCAGGAATCCAAATTTCTCTGTATCTACAGAGGCCTCTCTCACTCGGGGCCTCAATTGAATTGGAAATGTTGATAATACTGATCATAGCTCAACTTTCATCCGGGTTATGGCCGTTGTCCCTGCATCAAAAGTCAAGTGCATGAGATACTTTAATTCATATGGTTCTAAATTCTACGGGGAGAAGGAACAACTGAGTGAAGAGATTCAAGAATTGGTGGATCGGGTTAAAGAGCTGGATAAGGAGACTCAATAGCTGGGGACTAAGAGTAAACTGAGAAGTCTCAAAAAGTTCCTCACCTTGAAGGTTATTTGATTGATTTTGGCCAAAGCCCATCTGAACAAGGCTTTGGAGGTCATCCTCCCAGAATGTTGAAGCCTGGAAAATCGAGTTTTCCACCATTGTTAAAGACTATGCAGGAAATACATCTGCAACTGATATTTATCATTGGAATTTCACTAATTACCTGTGAGGTGGGTTCACCAAAACAATTAATTGGAGGCAGCTGCATCCCAGGATTTCGATGCATTGTAGAATTCAAAGGGTTCAAAGAGAAGGGATTCTCTGATCCATTAGGAATGGCACAATGAAGGTTTGACCCTTGGTGAGATTGTAATGCATAAGGCAACGCCTGTGATGAGGAATCGAACTGGTCTGTGCTATGTGGCAAAGATCCGTGAGACTGCGAGATATGGAATTTGCATAAGTATATATGATTATAGCCAAAACCAAATGGGATTCAATGAGAAGATAGAACAGGAAAATGGGATTGGCTTACTTCCTTTGATAGAAGGGCTTCCATGTTGAAATCCATTCTCGTATTGACTGTAGATAATTTCATCGAAAGAAACTACAAGAAAGAATAATCCATATAAATTTAGAGGCATCACACCAGAATACAATTAGAAATAAGAGTGGTAGATTTTGATGTTGAAAATTTGATCCCCTGACTAATGGATCAACCAAACTTCATTGATAGGTGGTGGAATTTTTCGATTTTTGCCTATTCTCAATCCCTTCAATTGTGAGATGTGATTGTACCTCTCTCTCTCTATATATATATGCAAGAGTGTGTGATTTATGTATGCAAAACACCAAGACTTCATGATAAAAAATGTAGCACTTTGTGGGCATTTGGTCCCCTAGTGGAGGACTTATAGGCTGAAACATGTTAAATCTTTTGTTTTTGTGTTTCTCTATTTTCTGTCTTCAGTCTCTCAATCTAAAATGTATAGAGATAATCTCGATTTACCTCGACCTGGCGCTGCAGTGACTGTACATAGTTAATGATTTCATCAAGCATAACAGCTTTTCCAGTCACCTGTAAAGAAAAATCAAGCTCAACTTAGGACCTGTTACACTTTCCCTCAAGAAATTCAAGTATAATCGCCCAAAAAATCTGCTGAATTAGTATGTTATGAGCACCTTATTGCAACCTGGTACAAGATCCTGAAGAAACTTCATCCTCTCACTAATTTTTTCTCTTCGAACCTGCCCGATGAAGATCAACAGGATTGAAATATAAACTTAAATCTAATTAATTCAAATGGAGAGAATGACTAATACAGGGAGGGAATTGCCATATTTCTTACCCTTTCAGCAAGACTATGGCTGTCTGTGGCCTGGCCCCTTCTGGCTCTAACATGAATATAGTCCTTTGGAGGCTCTGCAGGCTTTTGATTATCCTTGCTTTGTTTCTCTGTTCCATTATCATCTGCCTTAGATTTTTCGGCTTCTTTTTCATTTCCATTACCTTCTTCTGGCTTGTTTCTCTTTGAATTTGATTCATCATTCTCTGCTCCAGCCTGCAATTCAACTTTCTTCAATTTTCACTCAAGTTTATGAAGAGAATTATAAATTGGAATCCAAGTTTTTCACACAAAACTACATTACTTTAGCATTTTTTGCAGAGGAAGATGAAATCTCTTTGGGTTTTTCTCTCGGAATTGATTTCCGCTTTCTGGAACTAGCATCATTTTGAGTTTTTGAGCCAATTTCCCCACCTGGGATCTGCTCAGAAACTGAAGATTCCTCCCGGGAATCACCCAACTCCCCATTTTTCGGGGTCGAAGACCTCGAAAACACACTGAATTTGTCATCAGAAGCAGAAATTTTACCATCTAACAAGCCTTCTCTGTTTTCTTGAGCACCCATTGGAGATGCAGTAACTTTGAAGGACTGATTTCTTGATAATCTAGAGAGATTACTGGAATTCATCAGTTTATGAGGAAATTCAGATTCATTTAACCCAATTTGGCCACTTGGGACACCAAAATTTCTGCTACCAAAGCAAGAAAATCTTGCAGCCCTCTCGACAAATCCAGGATCTGAACAAAATGGTGTCAAACTTGGATGATTTGGAAACTGGTTTCCGGGAATTTGAAGATTTCCTCCGATCTGATGATCCATCATAGACAAATTCAGTTTGGGAGGGGAATTCAAGGGGGTGCTGTAGCATGAAGTGTTAGTACTGTTGTTGCCGGCGAAGTAAGACGGCGGCGAGATTTCGCCGGAGTTGCAAATGCTTCCTAGTCTTCCGATGAGTTCTCTGAGCACAATGCCATCGCCGCTGGCATTGGAAGTGACCGGAGATGAGACCATGGAGCTCAAAGCAGACTCAAAGGGATCGTTCTGATCCACTGTATTGTCCCAATTGGGATTGAAAAAGTGATTGGTAAGTTGATCTGAAGTACAATTCAGCTCGTTGGTTTGAATTTCCATTCCAAAATTTGATGAACTCCAAGTGGGTGTTAATGTGTTCCTTTCGTTCACAAACATATTTTCCTTCTCCATATTGCAGAATTAGACAAGAAATCTCAGTTTGGAGGAAGACAAGACAGACCCAGAATGAAGAATTATATCAAACCCAAGAATCAGTAAAGAAAACCCAGAAGTTGCTTTTGGAAAATCTCTAAGTAAATTGAAGAAATAAGCAAGCAAAACGTGAAATAAAAGTTGGAGTTGAAAGGAAATGTGTTTATACTTGTCCTTGTAACTCACTCAAATGGGAAAGAAAAAGGAGGGAGAAGAAGACAGTTATGAGCAGAAAGAGAAAGGAATAGAGAGAAAGTGAGAGAAAATGGTGGAAAGTGAAGAGGAAGCAAGAGAGAAAGATAAAGAAAGGCAATGTCTGTTGACCTTTTAGAAATAGTATTTATATCTCTCTCTCTCTCCCTGTATTTCTAAGTGATGATACAAAAATCTCAGCTTAAAACTCCGTAATAGACGGTGGGTCTGTAATGCCGGGCCTTAAACGTCAAACTAGCTGCTCGGCCATGAGAGGGAGGGCATTGAAAAACACATTACTTTATCTTTCTTCTACTCTTGCTTTTTCCCTTCTTCTTCTGGTCTGTTGAGATGAAAGAGAGAGGAAGGTAATGTGGTAAAAAGAGTGAAAAGTGATAGCTAGCTTTTCTTCTTCTGGCACACAACTCTGTTTCACTGGCAGTGTTTGTCTTATGGTGGATATCATCAATGATTAATGTACAGATTAAAAGTGTGAACACATTTGTTTAGATATCTGCTGCTATATTTAAATTGCTTATGGTTGTGGTGGGGGGGGGAGAGAGAGAGAGAGAGAGAGAGAGGCCTTTTCAATTTGCTTAATGGTTAGGTTTACTGTGCAGTGGAAAGGCCGCAGAGTGCTAAAAAAAGTTGTGGGTTAGACCAACTCCAAAAGACAGTTAAAACCTCTTTTTTAGCTATTTTAGATAGCTTCGTCTTGAAACATGATTTCAACATATTAGTTATTTCGTTATCTATTTCTCATAATTTTATTTTCACTAGCTACCCACTTTTCACTAGCTACATTCAACAAAATCCCTCAAAAATCCAGTAAACTCCACCAAAAATTCATCAACATCCCAAAAAAATTCAATAAAATCTCCCCAAAATCCAGTAAACTTCCCCTAAAATTTTGATTTCGGTTATTTGTGTAATTTGAGGTGATTTTGTTTTGAATTTTATGATTTAATTTGAGAGAATTTGGTTTGAAAGTAGTAATTTTTGGGAGGTGAGTTCTTCCTTGTAGCCTATAATTGATTAAATTTGTATAATATATATTTGAATTTCTATTTTTTGAATTTTATTATTGAAAGTTAGTTGAAGTGGTTAGCTAAAATAGATAGCGTTGTTGAAATAAATTTGAAAAAGTGGTTAGGTAAAGTAAATAATAAAATATTTAAATGTATTTTGAGTAGTTATTTTAGATAGTATTGTTAGAGATGCTCTTAATTACCTCTCTCTTTATTTTCTTTTCCGTCATTTAAGAGGAAAGTGAAAAGTACCCACCACAGTCATGAGAAATAACTCAGTTGCCAATAAGAATTAGTTATAAATTTAGATATTTTGAGTTTGAATTTTGATAATTTTTTTTTCTATTCCCGACATGAATGACTGCTTTTGATCAGGTCGGGAAATGAATTAATCAAGGTGCGTATAAATTGATCCGATAACATCAGACCGTTGAACCAAAAAAAAAAACAAGTACCAACTAACAGCTGTGAAATCAGTTTATCTTGAAGTTTACAGAGAGCTTGAAAATTTTTTTAAGGCTTTGATAAAAAAAAGGATTTTCAAGGCTGTGAAAAGCAATTTTTTAGAATAGTATTGAAATTTACATATAATTCAATCATGTCAAATTACGATTCTAACAGATCGAATCATGATTTAATAGAATCAATTTAAGATCAATCGAGAAAACTTGTGACTAACCCGAATTTTATTGTATTAGTTCTAATTTTTTTCAATTATCGATCCTAATTTAGTGCCGCAAATTTTTCTAGAACTTTGGGTCAAATGACAGCTTCAAAATAAATCATCCCAAATGGGCATTAAAGTTTCAAAGCCACCTTGCATGGAGTGGAATATTGTAAAAGTTATACAATAATATTGACATTCAAAAGGGAAAAGAAGTTATTAGGAAACAGAGGAGAGGCAGTCGACGCCAACTGTGGAATCCAGATTCAAGGAAGACTCAATATTTTGTAAATCTAAACATGCTACAATTGACATTAAAATCCTTATAGATCTACTCCCAATTTTTGAGTAAAGCCTTTAACTACTAATTTAGTCTTATATTTTTCAATAGTTTTATCATATTTATATTTTCTTTTTCATATTTATTTACACCTATATTTATTTACACCTAATTGGTTTTCTATGTTCAGGCAAATCCACTAATTTCCACACATCATTTTTAATAATAGAATCTCACGAATGACTTCTTTCCACTTATTTAGGGGTGGAGTTAAAATTTTTGCTCAGGGTGGACATTTTAATTACACACTTTAATTTTTTTCTTCCTAACCTTATGTACAAAAAATGAATAATTCTTACCATCGTAAAAAATAGAGCTAATTGTCATTTTTGTAATTAAAAAATATCATTTATTCACTAAAAATCTATTAAATTTATTCAATAAATAATGTTCCAAACATACTGAGATATTAGTATAGTAAAACTACTAAACTAAAATTTAAGAGCAAAAAAAAAAAAAAATTTTAATATCAATTGACACATAATAAAAACTATAATCAATACTCAAATAAAAATAGAGACCATTTTTCATAGAAAAAAAAAGACGTTAAATAAAGGTCAATTGTAAGAATTTTTACTTGCAAAAATTTATTAATAAAATTAAAGTCATTTGGAGAATGACTTAATAAAATAAAAAATTTGTCTCATTCTTCTATTTACTTTTATAATATATTTACCTAGATAATAATTTTTTTATTTTTTGAGGACGGGCACTTGCACACCTTGAACCATACATGGCTCCGCCCTTGCACCTATTTGAGTTGGGTGATAGTAAGACTTTCTCTCCAGTTAACGGATCTTCACTATTTTCTTTACTAATAAAAGTGAGATAGTGTTTAAACCTTGTTGATGCGTTTCTTTCTCTTTAAATTCTTTCAATTGTATTATTGGATATTTAAGTAGGTTTTGAAATAATTTCTATAGTAGTCATTCTTGAATCACTATCATTCAAAATTTCTTTTTCTCTAGGAATTGCAAATAATTCTATTAATTTAGAAGGATTTCTTGTGTCAATTTCTTCTTTTAGAAATCTTGCATCTCTATTTTTTATCACATTAATCCTACCATCACTATGCTGAACAACAAATCTATATCCTTTAGAATTTTTAGGGTATCCTATAAGTGTTCCCTTAATAGTTTTACTATTCAATTTATCATAACTTGTGCCGAAGATATGATGAAATATAAAATTCGAACGTTCAAATATTTGACCCCCATTATATTAAATAATATTTTTTTCTTCATTTCTTTAATTATATCATTTAAATTTTATTTTTAAGCATTATATCAACAAAATTTTCTCAAAATACATAATTTAACAAAATTTTTTCAACATGTATATATTATCGTATATGAATAATGTCTAAAATAAAAATTATGTTAAATTATAAATTAATCAAATATTAAATAATTGGACATATGATAGAAATAAGTGATGTAATATTTTTGAGGGACAAAATATGTAAGAGATAAAAATTTAAGTTGATAGGTGTTTTATTATATAGATTTATTGTTTAAAAAATTAATAAAAATGTGTATAGATAATTTACAAGGAAAAAAAATTTGTACCTTTGATTAATGGCAATACAAATTTTGAAATACAACTTTGCTTGGGAACAAGAAAGCAGCTAAGCAGCTTCTTCTTCCAACATGAACAAATTGTCAAAGTTGAGGGTGGATGCAGTCTAATGCTTAAGTGAGTAAGGGTTCTGAGAGTAAGCAAGAATGATTGCAGAGAAAGAAGCGCATATCTTAGACTTAAGCTTTACCTGATATTTATATCACCTTGTTCGGCTGAACAAGGTGATTTATCTATTTTTTAGCCAAATTTTCTGTAATTTGTATTGGAGCTTCTTCAGGCTTCCTTTCTGGTTCACCTATTATTTAGATCATGTTTATAATTTAGGTAACTTCCCTTCTGGTTTTACACTGCCCTTAACCACTCGGAGTAACCTAGCTATCCCTGGTTTGGTTTCATTGCGCCACCTGTTTGCCTAGGTCACGAATATGTTCGGTCAACCATGATCCATCTCGGTTGTCTGAACCATTATTTAGACAGAGGCACTCTGCCTAGCAAAGAAAAGGCAAGATGTCTCAAAAAAAAAAAGATGATGTCATTTCGAATGCTTCGTTGGAGTTTTATGACAAATGCCAAAGCACCTTATCGGATATGAACCGATGACTTACACCTTACCATACCTCAAATCGAATCATTTACCCTATTGTGAGATGTCCAGACAACATTACGAGGGAAAGAAGACAAAAACCACTACTTATGAAGGGGAGCTTTCTCAAATGAATAGGACGAAAACATGATGCATGGGTTCTCTTGTCTTTTGCTTGGTTAATAAATTATGGGTTTTGTTTTAATTCTCTTCTTAATTATGAGTTTCATCTTAATCACTGCGTTTAGGCTTTTTAAATTGTTGTTGATGGCCACATGCCTACAGACATACATATTATATGTGTGTGCATATATGTGGGGGGATGATGCACAAATATGCTTTTCTTGTGAAGGTATTATTACTTTCTAGTGAGAGTGTAACACTATCGAAAGCATTGTAATATGCTGGAGTTAGGTGTTCGTTGATTATAGATGTGTAGTTCTATATATAGTGATAGCCCGAAGAGTTTAAAAATAAACTTGTGGAAAGACAGTGGTTGATTTATCGTAAAAACTGTATTATTTCTTTATTCATGTCCACTATATTGTTTAATCGTAAAATTCTAAAAAAAACTAACGAGTTTTCTATTGACACTGTTCCACATGGAGTAGATCTCACTGGTGAAATGAGATTTATCAATATTACATAAGGTTAATTGTACTTGATGTCTCTAAAGTATAGAGTCTGTCTCATTTTAGTTCCCAATGTTTTAATTACATCATTTTGATCTCCGAAATATTAAATATGTTTCTATATGGTCCCTTAAACAGACAGCGTCCAGATTACTAACGATTTTTTATCATAAACTTATCACGTAATACTTATGGGCAAAAGAATAATTTGGATAACTCTTAACTAAATTTCTACTTAAATTTTGTTAAATAGTTACCTAAATTATATAGTTTTGATCATGAGCAATCCAAATTTTGGTCAAAAACTACCATATTACACATTTTTTTGTTAAAAGCTATCCAAATTTTGTTTAAGAGTTATTAAATTATTTTTTTTATCTATATTTAGGTATTATGTGACAAGTTTATAATAAAATATTATTAGCAATCTAGTCGCTATCTGCTTGAGGGACCATATAGAAACATATTCAATACTTTAAAGAATAAAATGAGATAAATCCCATATTTTGGGGATCTCTAATGCAATTAACCCTATTGCATACAATCTTAGTTGAACTC